TACTGAAACAGGATAGGATAGCTACTCGAAATGGAGAAGCCGGGGTTAAGGTTCGTAATGACCTGTTTTCTAGTGGCAGCGGTGCTATTCCAGCGAAAAAGTCCGCCATTTTTTGCTTGCAGAAGCGCAACGGTTTAAATCACGTCGTTTAGAAAGCGGTATTTGGCTTGAAGATATCTCTGCCCTTTAACTCCTCATCATTCATCCGTTGTCAAGCGGGCGAAAGGCAGAGGATGCTGATCCGTGGCGCAAAGTGGGACAGAGGGCAGGTTGGATAATTTTTGGGTTTAATTTAGCCCAGGAGGAATGAGAGGGAATCGGCGAGAGAATAGCGAGTACTGCGATCACAGGAGGCTCACCATACATAAGAAGTGGATGGATGTCTAGCGCTTTGTTTCGTGCAACATCGCCTGCGGACGGCAGCGTATCTATATGCATCTCGGTAGAAGCATTCCGTACACGCACACAAGCACAAGCGCTCCACGTATTCCTACTCAACAGACAGACAAACCAACTGACAGCTTGACGAAAAGTTACCATAAACGCAGAGAAAGGGTTTTTAGATTTGGACTTCTGTCGAAGGCAGGCCTTCCAGCAAAAAATAGCGACGCAGGCACCAAGTGTGGCGAATGCATCAACATGTCGACACGTGATATGAGCAGAGTCACCAGCTACAACAGTAACAGCATAGCGTTCGTCTCTGTCTACTTTACTTGGCTTTAGCCGTTGTTTGTTGATCGGCGTTTGACTGAGCCCTTGGTGAGTGAATATATATATATATATATATGTGTGTGTGCGTTCGCGTAAATCAGCTGAAGACGCAGTGAACTGGGTCTAAAAAAAAAGAGAAAAATAAATTAAAACTTTTGCATAACTGAAGCCAGCGTGTATGGTTTCGGTTGCGTCTTATCGGCTAGGGCGGCTTTAGGCTCAACGGCTAGGGCGAAGGCGATGTCATTAACGTATTTTTACCACACATATTCTCATACAGGTATATTGTTATAATGCAACGTGTTCATATCGAGACAGCTCGGAATTGCCCCCGTGGGGCTCTATAGTAGCTGGAGAGACAACGGCGAGGCTTTGTGAGGGAAGGCAGCATAATATGTCGGCGACAGAATTGAACTGTCGGCACAAGCATAGGCTTGTAAACGCGATAAACGTAGAACGATCTTTCCCGTTTAGTAGGAGAGAAAACGTAACAGGACGATTGTGTCACAAGACCTTTTTTTATCAAGGTCTTTCCTCTGCTGTTGTGATTGTCTATGGTAACAATAGACAATGACATGGTCCCTGTCAGTATGATTAATATTATTATTGTCAATCAGTCTCCTTTCGCTGGAAGAAAAGTACGAGTTTCCTCTCTTCACTTCTGGGTCTTATTGCTTCGTATTTCTTCTTTCTTCAGAAACATTTCTAGCATCGCAAGGCAAAATACACGAAACAAGAACGAAAAACAGGCCGCACTCAGCCACTGTTGTAACCGATCGGTTATTATGAGCGTGCTTCCCTATAGAGTTACGCAATTCTAGCTGAGACTAATCTACTTCGGCGTGTACTACGAGTCTCAATGAGATTCCGCCGTCGAAATGCATGAGTTTCACTTTGCCTACGGCTCACCGAACTTTTTCATCGGTAGTTGTAGAAATATAGGTGATTCGGAGTTTTCGCACAATAGAAAGCGCGTATTTGGCAATACAAGCAAGAGACACAGGGTGCCTAAAAACCTCGAAAAGAAGTACGGACGCTTATTATCGACGTCGCTTTGCAGAAGCGCAGGTGACTAGAGCTGGAGAATCGATCGCGATTGGCGACACCATCGGCGCAATGCTGGTTTCTCTAGAGTTCTGCAGATGTACCTGTCTGAAAAATGCAGTCTGCAGAGTAATTAAGCTTCGTATTTTAGGAATCCCGTAGATCTGAGCGTATGTACTTTTATGTTTGCTTCGTCTGAGTATAATTCATGAAGCTGGAGTCGATCCGTGCATTTCCGTCGATCAGCAACGTCTTGAGAAACACTGTTCCCCTCGCGGCGACAAGTGTAATTAATTAGCCTTGTAAATTGGCGAACAGCTAGAATGGCACCCAGAGCACTAGTTTATTCACGGAATAACGGCCAACTTTGTATCTATCTCTAGCATGCCTACAGCTCTGCATTATTTACTTCTGTTCCCCTAAAATACCAGTATCTCAAACAAATTGAACGAGTATGCCTGCGGACAATACGATGAATAATAATAAGTTCGTCCAGCTGACGGAATCCTTTCTAAACGTGATCTGCTCGATCATGAAGCACCAGGTCGATGACATTTATTTCGCTCGTATTTGCTAGGCCCCCAGATCCCTGTAAATCGTGACTTTCAAGAAGTTTGCAAATATGCTAAGAGGTTGATTCCCTAGGAAGTTCCTATGAGCTAGGGAAGAGTGAGGCGATTCAGATGATGAAAAAGTAATGCATGAGGTAGAGCAAATCGAATCCACCCAAAGCAGGCTAAAGAAGAAAAAAGAGAAGCCTTTTTCTACAACCCACAAAGTCTGGCATACGAAATCCTTGCGGGAGTCTCTGCTAGCGAAACCTGTCAAACCCAAATGAAATAGAAAGGGCTGGCTAGAGCAGAAGAGCAAAGTAACGATTTAGACTGAAAGGGCTTAGCGGAGACATCGAGATTCTGAGTTCGGCATCAACACCGAAAGGTAACAGCCGTCGTCTGAAATTGTAACATGTTCGAGTTTGTTCAAGAAACAGCAAGCGGTTGCGTGGTGGCTTGCTTGGAATAAACTATATTGTCAACTGGGGTGGCACCGCTACCCTGGAGGGTCTGCCAAGCGAGAGACGCAGAAGAAAAATAAGGCAGACTGAGGCCCGAAAAGAGGGCAACTTGTCTCCTTCAGTCGCAGGATGTAATGAGATGTGCTAGGAAGCGGAAGGATAGAAATAGAAAAAAATTATATGGGGATGGATGCGGCCTTAGCTGTTGGCCCGGGAATCTCTAGTCCTAGAAAGGTGGTCGGGGAAGCTGTCTCTTGACTTGTGTCTTGGTGCCCGTCTTTTTGTCTACAAGTGCCTTGGTCTGTGCGTATCTATCAGTGGAATTATTAGCAACCGTGAAGCAGGGAAAACCGTCAGAAGCAGACCGACACGCAGTGACCCAACGGAGCCAGAAGTGGAAGACATACAGCACAGTCCATCCTAAATGTGCTAGTGCTGCTTTTGCTGGAATCTACAGAAGGACAGGTCGGAGAGGTAAAAAAAGAAAAAGTACAATTGAAAACGAACGACGAGGTGACTGAATTAAAATGTCGGAGAGTGACAAAAATGCCATTGAACATGGTGGGCAAAACAGGATGAAGAACTGGGACCTAGTGGTCTCTGTTTAGGGGCAGGGGGTCGAAGGAACTTAAGAAAATAAGACACTGACAGGTTCCTAGCAGAAGATGAGATACAAACGAAGAACTATAGATGTGGGGGGACAGAGGGGGCACACTCAACGTAATGGCCGCAGAATTTCAACCAACGTATAACTTGTTGTAGCAGTTCAAGCCCGTCCTGCTACAGCCATCAATGCTGTCAGATCGCTTCGATGATGGTGGTACACGGACTTCGTCCGATGTTGGACACACTTTTTCGTATTGAGTTCGCATCTTGTCTGATGGTGAGCACGTTACTGCTACTTTGTTGTGAACGTTAAGGACTTCACATAAGGAAACAAGGGTACATGTTCTGCAAGACGTCTCAAGTCGAGGTAGGTGCGAACTGATGACTTGGCGAGTTCGTGGCTGTTTCTCTCGTTAAAAATACGCTGCTGCTTCTGTTAGTGATGAGAACCAGCCGGACTAAAGAGAACTGCTCTGCTTGTGCGGTGGGACAGTGATATCAGGCAGTGAACTTTCCATCGGCAGAATGGGGATCAGCGGCATGTGTCGGTTAGTTTGGCCGGAGAACCCGGAATCCATGTAGAGGACACAAAGTAAGAAGCGGACGGAAATAAGTATCGGTGGTAATCTAAAATGAAAAATGAGATATAACAACTAAAAAAGTGAGATTACTGGATGAAATTACTTCTTGCTTTACTGTTAAATAGATTCGTCCAAAAACTTGTTGGGATATTAGTCCTACAGGGATAAAGGCGAAATCCTGCGTACAGCGGCAGGTTGACTTGCAACCACTCTTATTTTAATAAAAATATTGAAAGTAAGATGCCGACGAGTGTGATGAAAAGGGCTCAACTATCTTGCTAGGGCGTTCGAACTTCTACAAAATAATCGAAAGGCCATTAGAACCGTCCACAAAGTAGCATTTGTGTTGAGCTGATTCTTTTCTATATCTCGACCTCCGCGCCTCACGCACATCTGAAAATAAACAGACTGAAGCCAAGTACAAGTAATAGATCGGATACAGAGACAAAAAGGCAGAGAAGTTTTATCGTTGCTGAGCAACCTACGGTTGTTGTGCTGCTCCTTCACGTTCGGCTGTTCCAAACTGTTCTGGTTTTTGTTGTTCAAAGAATACGAATAAGTGACGTTCTGAAAGCATCTTGGACAGATCGTGTCCTTCCTATGAGTCAGTGAAGAAAAGATATAAAGATAACGGAAAACGAGCTTCAGAATACTTCAGAGGAGGGCAACAACAATACGTAGTTGCGAGCAAAAAGTAATGGCCCATATAGGGTTATCGGAAACCTGACTCAATAGTCGCCTCCGATAAGAATGATGAGGAGTCTCTCCCGAGGGTTCTTTTAGAAGCGAACTCTTGACGCATTTTGTCAAAAAGTGAGCTGAAGCATATTGATAATAACGATGATAATAATAATTCATTGATATCCTTAGATTCGGTCTTACTATGTTACTTACACTAGCCCCTTGTTTTGGTTTACCGTTTTAGTTATATATGGTCTCTATTATATTTGCTGCTAATAAATAAGTGTAGCATGCTCACAGAACCGCTAGACAGTCTAAAGAAGTCTTGATTTCTTCGATGTTGTTTTCCTTGTTTATTACAGGAGTGACCCCCGCTACGACGGTGGCCGAGTTATTGTCGACCTTGACGCGTTCACAGATGCTCTCCTCCACAACTGCTACCCCGCTTTCCTCGGTGGTCGTAGACGGTGGAGGTCACGGAGCGACTCACCACGGGAGTCAAGCACCTAGACGGAGTGACTGCCTCGTGTTGCGCCGTGGGGCTATGGAACATATACTCAGTCCATCCGACAGACCGTTACGTTTACTTGCACACTCAGGGGGTCACCTGATATACAGGTAAATCGAAAAAAATCAAAGCGACCCGCACTTTTTGACTAAATCAGTTCGAGTAATTTCGTCTGTTCGGAAAAATGTTTACTGGGATGCCACTGACCGCTGTTAGATTTCTTTTGGATTCTTCAGTATCATATGTAACAATAATTTGGCAAAAATCTTTATCAGACAATATCATAGAGGCATTAATTAAATACTTAGAGTCTTACGAACGGTATAAGACACTAATGGGATGTTGCTTTTTAGGTTTGCTATAAAGTTCCTCTCCTGCTTAAAAGTCTAACAAACGTCACAAAACAAAGCCGTTGCGAAAACGGGTTTGTTTACAGTCAAAAATACGCCCGATGTCTAGATATTTTGAAAACAAAAATACGCAATGTCGTTGCCCAATATCCATTACTGAGCGATCCGTACCCTAGGGAGCTTTTCTTGCTTGGGTCTGTTAAACTGGAAAGCTTATTTATTACGAGCGAGGTTGAGCGCCTCTCGAGACCGATCGAAAACCGATTGGTACGTGTATTCCTACTCTGCGTCGTTCATGGCGAGACCTTTAGCTTCTGGAATAGACTTAACGTGAGAAACTCACCAGTAAATGATTTTCGCATTTTAAGTTCGGCCTCTAACTGCAAATGACAGAGTCCTTCCAATACGAAACGAAGTATGTCTACGTCTGCATTCAAACCTAGACCACCACGGGCATCTAAGTTTAAGAGGCAAGCACGTTTTTCTTGTGTTAATACACGACTCGGAAATTATCAGGTAAAATAAATGTGTACTTACTTAAAAATATGTTTACGATGAATGCTAGAGCCTGTTAAGTCGCTGTTGTCACATAGCAGATGTATAGTGGCGTGATAATTCAAATCGTTCTTGGAGTTCAGTGTATGGTTCGAAATGCAATAACTCAGAATTGTTAAGGATATATGTCTATATGAAATATAGTTCTGTAACTTTCTTAAGATCTTCCTCAGAGAAACGAAAATTTTTTAATTAACTGAATACGTTTTTCATTACCTCTAGATGACTGTTCTATCGGGCAAAACTGTAAACAATGAAGACTCGATCGATTGAACTTATTTCGAACGAAGTGAATACATAAGACAAAGGCTGAGACGTACCAATCATTTGGCCGTAATGTACGTGTGTTTAGTTTGTAACGGTACCAATAAGTTCACTTGGGGATACATAATCAATTTGATTTTAGTCGCTGTCTCGTTTTGTTTGGTTTATCGAACACTTTTGCATGTTTCCAAGAAGAATATCCTTCACGAAAGAGCGTATTGTCTCTCGAGTAATGCATCAAAAATAAATCGACATAAGTGATGAAGCTGGAGTTAAAATGTAATGAGCCATGTAAGCGCAGTCCTCTGGCTGAAAGAGGCCTGAATGCAGGCCAGTTCTCTCATGCCGCTTGACGGTGACGGTCGCAGTTAACAGTGACATTCAAAGCATTTGTATGTTTCACATGCCTTCGAGGACGCTACGGTTCGTTTTCGAATGATTCCATGTCTTCAACACAAACCCGCGCCTTGTCGTCGCTAGCAAACTATTACGATGACCAATGTGATAGGATCGAGCGAATCTCATCAGAAATTATTACAGGGGACATGTTGACATGAGATGGCGTTTCTTTTGTCTGAGGCAAATGCTAGAATAAAGCGCGTTCGTTATTACTGAGTAATATTTTACTGCTTGAAAAGAAAACAAAAAGCAAAAATGCTGTGTTCCGCTTTCAGTCAGAGTACGCCTGACCTAAGGCTGCTAACCTTGACTTAGGTACGATGTGAAGCCTATGTTGACCGATGATATTTTCAAGTGTTGCTCGTCGCTCGTATAACGTTAGCTGGTTTGGATTCACCAGAAGACAAGAGTTAGGAAAAGTTTGAATTTGCTTAAAAATAAAGATACTATTTAGACAGATGATGTTGTTAATTATTCTTTCGAATAGTCCAGCAGCGAGATTGGAACATAGATCGTAACTTACATTGAGTAATCGCATAGCTCGTGAGTGTAGTGGAAGCCATATAACGAAGTGGGTCTTTTCTTTGGTGCCGATGCCACTGAGAAAAATGGCCCACAAGGTCTAATTAAATTACTATGTAGGAAAAATGTGAGTGTAGAAAATCCAGTCACTGCTGCACGTCTTTAGTAGTGTAGTATTTGTGTGTTTTTTTGTTCCCACAGCCGTCTGACACCACTTTAGGCCCAAAAAGTGTCTAGTTCAGCATCTACTCCTTTGAACTAACTGAACTTTCTAAGCATGAGCAGGAGATTTTCCCTAATCACTTATACTCTCATGCTCCTTATTTCCACAGTGGCCAGTTTCGGAATCGTTTTCCTACGCCGGCCGGTTGCTGCATCATTGTCGCGCCATCCCCGAACAAATAATGATTTGATCAAACGTGAAATTACGAACGAGTTTTGCGCAAATTTCAGCCTTGTGCATAGACTATTCAGGTGCAGTGTGCCAAGGCAGAAAAACATCTAATATGTGTGTACTCTTCCTAAGAATTAAAATATCCAACAATGGTCTCTGCTGCGAGTTTAATTTGTGCGTAAGGGAATATGCGTATGGATCCCTTAGTGAAGACGTTGCATTAAGAAAACAAGCGCAGGGTATGGTTTACTAGGCCCAATCAGCTTTTTGAGTTTCAGGGATCGAGTGCGTCATACCTGGTCCAAAAATGACCTAGTTTAGCTTACAGAATCGAAGTGACAAACATCGGCCCGATAACAGCGAACAGTTAACGGACGTGACTAAACGAACTTTTCCATGTTCTTTGTAAAAGTGTTAGAGCCAATACATCGATTTACGCGGCTGGTACCCTTGCTACGTTTTTCCGTGTAGCCAAACGACAGCTTTCCACAATTTTTTTTGAATAGCTGATACGAGGTCCGAGAACTAGATCTAGAGACTATCCCAAAAAATGTCTATTTAAATTATTTGATCATAACTTTAGTTTTTATGTTAATCTAAGCATGGCGTTGTTATGGCGCTTTTAGATCTTGTACTATCACCGCTTGTATACTATAGACTATTTTCAAGGTATCCCCATATAAAAGTCCAGGGGTGTCAGGTCTGGAGGATACGCATAATACTCCAGGTGACTTTTCCGTTTAAAAGATTTGTATCAAGGTATGCTCTTATGTCTCCGTGGTAAGATACAACTGCTATGTCTTATTGTAAATTAAATTTGCTATCGTCCTACTTTTGTTAGGCTAAATTCTAATAATTGGCATCAGCACGTATATTATTTTCGAAGATTCTGTGTTCTACGTATTTCATGTCATGCAAACAATGCAGTAGGGTAGAAGCCCTTTGGTAAAAGCTTTTTGTCGATATAGTCCCTTAGAACTTAGCGGACAATTTCCTTTGAAAGTACTCTCTTGAGGAAGTAAGCTACTTTTCGTCTCTGCCTTTGAAGAGGGAGCATTAAATATGAATATCCAAAAAGGGGCCGTCGGCCTATGAGGTTTGAATTCTGGTGAAATATATGCAATACGGCTGCGTTCGTTAATTATTACAATACTGCATAATGCGCGTTTTATCGGACAACGTGCGCTTCCGCCGGCAGTATGTTACATATACATTGAGGTCTCTGCTGCTGTTTTTTACCAAAACACCTACCTTTTTACTTAACCTTTTTAAGAATCGTAAGAAAATGAAGAGCTCCTTGAAAAATATCCGACATCAAACGATTTCACGCAAAAGACTACCTAATATAGGGTTTATCGGTTGTTAACGTATTAGGATAGCAGACCGGAGAAGCTTGCTGTTGAAGAGTATTGGTAGACGACTCCTTAGAAAGTGCTGACTTCTGAGCGCTGACTCTGAACTGTGACTTAAGCTCGAATAGCTCTGAATAGGGTTTCATTAGTCTGAAAGGGCAAATCATAAATTCTGAGATGTGTACTACTTGTTTACATCGTAAAAATACTTTTCTGCTAGTTTACATACTGCAGTTTTGCAAGATAGTGGCGTAAACAAACTTGTCCAGCTTCGGCAGATGTGTAATTATCCTACATATAAAATTCGGCGTTCTGCGAAAGAACGGCTAGTTAGCTTCCATCTGTATTAGATAATGGCTCGAAATGAAATCATTCTATGAAGTTCACAACAAATCTATAAAAATACTTTTCAAAAAAGCCGTCTCATAGGTCAAAACCGTGAGGCTTATTAGGAGACAGCCGTCTGGTTACTTGTTTAGTTAATAACAATCGGTTGAAATCAGTAATTGAAACTTTTCTCTAATTGATTAGTTAGCTGATCATTATTTAGATCGTGTACTAGCGTCTTATCTGAAGTTAGTGGTTGCTTTTCTAGTGGTTCTAGATGTTGATGGGTGCAGCATTGTTAAGGTTCGTAAATTTAAATCGTAAATTTTAAAAATCTTCAAACGAAACGTACATTGTGCCAGGATATGGTTGAATACCACCTACTAAATTCCTACGCATCTAATTTACATTCAGAGGGTCGGCCCAGACATAGTTCATACTTACCCTTTTGTACCATATAGCGCAGTTTCTAACCTGTGTGTAGATGTCCCATATACTTATATCTATATTTATGTTCCATGTCCAAGTTTGACGTGACGCAGGTTTTGCGACACAAGAGAGGTACGCTGTTATTCCAGTTCTGTTAGCGGTATGCGTTAGCGAACAACCTAATACCATTCCAATTAAGCACACTGTTGTTAATCGCCTTACGCGACCCTAGTTACTTTCGGCAAAGAATTCCCCCTCTAATATTAAAGAAAAATTTCGGATTTTGGGATTAGCGTTTTCGGCACTCAGCCGCCGTCACATAGAGAGAGAGATATATATATCAGCGTCTACGTAAGTTACGATAAGAAACTAAATAAGAAGGTATTAGTTGATGTAGTAGCGTCAGGGGAAACAGTATACAGGCCTGCGCACTTGGACTTTCAGATTCTGCAATATGTGAAATGTGGCCTACCGATAAAAGAGAGATGTCAGGTAGATTAAAGCACGATCTATGAATT